TTCTAATGCCAAATTGAACAGGACAGGCGAAAGAGAATCCCCCTGTTTTAAGCCCGAACGAACCTCAAATTTTTCGGACAATTTATTACCGATTCTAACTTTATTGAGTGTCTCAGTCAAGCACATCCTGACTAGATTTACTAGTTTTTTAGGAATCCCCTGCTCGATCAGAATATTATACAGTTTCTGGCGGTCAATAGAATCGTAAGCCTTTTTAAAATCTATATACAGCTGGTGAACAATACCGTTATACTCCAATTTTTTCTCTAATATTTGCCGTAAAGAAAATATTTGATCAATAGTTGAACGATTCCGTCTAAATACGCATTGGTAGTCTCCGATAATTTCCTCGGCGTATTCCGTGATTCGACTGGTTAAGATTGAAGTGAATATTTTATAACATACCGGAAGGAGTGAAATTCCTCGATAGTTATTACAATCCGTCCTCGGGCCCTTTTTGTGAATCGGAATAAGAATAGATTCTTTCCATTCTTCAGGTAATTTCTCGTTCACCCAGATCTTTTTAACCAACCGATGTATTTTAGAAACTCCAGCTTCCCCACATTCCTTAATTAGTTCAGTAGGAATATTATCGATTCCCGCTGCTTTATATGATTTTAATTTTCCGATAGCTACTTCAACTTCCTCTTTACTTGGTCCTTCTATTAACGGTTCAGCACTCTGGTACTCAGAAGGAGGACACAGATCATAATTTCCCGTATTTAAAATATTTTCAAAGTGGTCCTTAAACTTATTCAATATGTCAACCGGATCGGTCAGAATATTGTTATTATCATCCCTAATTCCAGACGTTACGGGCCCTACATATTTACGTGATCTGTTTATACCTTTGTACATGTCTCTTACGTTATTTTCGATTCTATTAGTTTCTATTTCAATTATTTTATTTTTAAGATATTCCCTTTTTTTATTTTTGAGCAATTTTGTCGTTTCGTTCTTTGAGATTCGGAAGTATTCCAGATTGTCTTCGCTAGGATTATTTAGAGCTTTTAATTTAGCGGCTTTTCTTTTTTCACACATGTTTAAGCAATCTTCATCAAACCACGGTTTGTTATTCTTATTTTCCTTTTTTCCTAGACACGAGTTACCGACCGCTTTAATATTATCCCTGATCTCTATCCATAACTTGTCAATATCCTCGTGGTCCTCGTCAGGAAGTTCTAAAGCTTCAAACCTATTCTTAACATCTAGCTGGGATTGGTTTCTAATTGATGGATTTTTTAATTTTTCCAAATTAAAATTCTCAAAATCGAAACGGTTTTCTTTTCTCTTTTTTATATTAAGTTTTTGTCGAAGTCTCGCGATTACTAATTCATGATCCGACCCACATTCTGCTCCGCGATAAGACCGTACATTAATTATATTGCTTTGCCAGCTGTGTTGTATCAAGACATGATCGATTTGATTTCGTGTTTGCGAATCCGGTGATGTCCAAGTATATTTATGAATATCCTTATGTTTAAACGTCGTACTTTTAATTATCAGGTTTTTCGAGATGGCAAAGTTTATCAGACGGATCCCATTATCATTACTATATTCGTGCAAACTTTCTTTACCAATCGTCGGAATATAAACTTCTTCCCTTCCTACCTTTGCGTTCGCGTCACCTACAATTATTTTCATGTAGTTTCGCGGTAGTTTATCATAAACCCATTCGAGTTTATCGTAAAATTCACTTTTGACTTCATGGTCACTGTCTTCGGTCGGACAATGTATGTTTATTAATGCGATTTTAAACCAACGTCCCTGAAATGTAGCTACCGAAATTCTATCACTAAAGAATTGTACGTCCCTCAAAGCGGATAGTAATCTACTCCTAATTAGAAACCCGGTACCTAAACAATGATTCCCGCTTCCTCCGTACCAAATAGTGTACTTTCCTTCCCTCATCGAGCCCTCCCCTGGCCAGCGAACCTCTTGCAGAGCCACGACATCCAAATTGTACCCATTCACCTCATTCGCGACCGATTTTAGCCCCCCTGCTGTGTTTAAACTCCTTACGTTCCACGTACCAATATTTAAATCTCTATATTTGAACTTGCGCCATGAATCCCCTAAAGCAGTCCCCACCCGGAGACCCGAACGGGGGACTAGTTTACTTCCGGATAATGAGCGTTTTACCTTAGGGAGATCCATGACTATTTGTGGTGTTTGGTGAACTAAAGATATGTGAGTAGGGTGTTCAATCCTACGTCACACCCTCCAGCAAGTCTGGTGGGCCCCTACCTCCAGCAAGTCTGGAGGTCCCCTCCCTCCAGCAAGTCTGGAGGGCCCCTCTCATTGTTGGTCAGCGAGTCCATCGGACTTAGCCGGGAGGAACTTCCAAGGAATTTCCACCGACCATCCCCACATCCGCCACCCGTGGGACGCTCCCCATACGCGGTAATGAGCCCGCGCGAGGCAACATTTATAAAAATGTTTATAAACTTTGCATATTTTTTAGTTTGCTGGATGTTCTTCACCACAAAGGGTACATTTCGCAGGCTGGTCACGAGGTCTCTGACAAGTGTCAGATGCGTGTGGGCCGGCAAATTTCACGCACCTGGCCTGGTGATGGCAATAGGTCTTTGTATGTCCTAAATCTTGGCCCTTAATGCATTGCACTATTATAGGTTTTTCTCTAGGCTCTTCAAATTTAATGGTGGAGTATATAATAAGCCTCTTCACTTGAAAAAATTCGATGTTATTGCTGGCAGGCTCTAAATCGTCGAAAAATAGCGGTAAAGGTTATTTTTCCGTTGGGTGTAGTACGTATGATATGTGCCTAAGATTGTGACCTATTTCTTCTAGGCCACTTTTGATGAAAGATATAGGGGTGCTTGTGTAGTCCTCCCAACACCACGCGGTATGGCTTTTCTTGTCTTAACTGGTAACAATGAAAATCATAGTTTTTACTTTTAGTAGATTTACTTTGTTCAGTTGACTTTTTAAATTTATTCGATTTATTTTGCTCTGCTAACTGTTTAGGTTTAGCTGATTTATTTTTTTTCTTATTGGGTGAATTAACTCCCGACCCAGGAGGGATGTTTCGATGACGTTTTTGAAGTGTTCGTCTTTTTAAATACTAAGAATTTGTTTCGCTAACTTCAGAAACCGGCGTTTCGTCCTCCGAATCTTCACTTGACGAACTCTTATCTAAATTCATATCTTCCATATTATGATCAGAGAGGGAAAAAATATATATACTCCTAAATATGACAATTAAAAAGATTTAAGATTACGAATTAAATTATTAAAAAATAAACTATATACATAACTATAATCAGAAATAAAATAAAACATTTCTTAGAATAAATTATCAAATAAAAATGTCTCTAGAAAAGAAAAAAAAAAAAAGAAGAAAAGTAAATAAAATGTCTTGGGTTCGAACTGAAGGCCTGATGACTGAAGGAAGTTAGTAAACAGAGCTCTTGACCGTGAACTTATCGGAATATGATAAGGCACGTAAGGGAATTAACTGCCACTCGACCTAACCAAATGAGCACCAATTTATCACTTGTTTATTGTTAATAAATAGTACCTCACCTGCGTGTAAGTCAACGTAAAAGTGTAAAACTGTTTATTAAGTCACTGTTGATTTAGTCTTACACCACAACTTTAAATTGTGAGCACATTAAAAAGTAACAAATACAGAGCGAAATGAAAGTTATACTGCACTTGCGGCCATGACACTTGGCTACCTTGCTCAAAAATAAAAAAAAAGGAAATATCCTTAATATAAAATAATTGAAATAGAAACTAATAAAATTGAAAATAACGTAAGAGACATGTACAAAGGTATAAACCGATCATGTAAATGTTTAGGGCCCGTCAAGTCACGAATTAGGGATGAAAATAACAATGGGTTGGATCTGGGTGGGACAATACCCGTGCTTTGCTATGCGGATAATCTGGTCCAGTTAAGCGAATACATGGAAACTATAAAACTAAATATGACAACGTTAATGAAAGCCGGTAAAGAACTAGGGCTCGAAATAAACACGGGTACAACAAAATGTATGGTTAGCTACAAAAATGGCGATATTGCTGGTCATACCGATATAGGAGGTAATATGTTCGAACAAGTAGAGAAGTTTAATTATCTAGGGTCTATGATAACTAGAAAAAATGAAATTGAAGAGGAGATTAAGGTTAAGCTGAAGGCGGGAAATGCTTATTATTTATCTGTGACAAAACTACTTAGCTCGCACTTGTCCCGGAATTTAAATACTAGAATCTATAAAACCATTTCTTATCTACAGTCATTTATGGATGTGAAACGTGGTCGCTTTTATTAAGGGATTAGCAACGTCTTAAGGTTTTTGAAAATAAAGTATTGCGTAGAATATTCGGACTGAAGAAAGATGAGTCAACCGGAGAATTCAGAAGGTTGCACAACGCCGAATTGCGTGAACTGTATCCAGTTAATATAATTAAGGTGATTACATCGCGGCGAATCAAATGGGCCCATAAAATTGCTGGTCTTAGTAACGAAAGAATTCTTAAAAGGTTGATATTTGCTGAACCAAATGGTAAACTTCTGAGAGGTAGACCGAAGCGACGGTGGGTAGATTGCGTTAAAGCCGATCAGAATAGAAGGGACTGGGCTTAGACAGCGAACGGTGGAGGGATGTGTATAATATGCGATTAGTGGTGTCGGCATCGAACCTCCGGGTTCGCTAAGCCTTTTATTTATTATTATTATTATAATGAAGAGTTTAATTATAAAAGTAAAAGTATTCACACCAAAATAAGATAATCTAATACCGCTTTGTTGTTTTGACGGATTTCTTTTTCTTTATCGCACCTAAGAATTCAAATGTTCTATTTATAAGCAAGTTTACTTTTTCCAGATTAATTTTTTGGTTTGTCACGTAATCTTTCGGATTGATCAATCTTCTAATTTCCTAGTTGGTAAACTAATTATAATAATACTCAGTCTGAAAATCTTTTATTTCTTTAATGATTCTTCTTTACTTGCACGAACCTCTTTGCAGTCCGTTTAATTAGAGTGTTAGAACCTTTATCAAAACAATAGTTAAAACGAAAAGTAGTGAATGTTTGTAAAAGTCACTTTAAATTTTCACAGCCTTACAGTTGAATAAAAAGTTGGTGCAAAAACATTTTGTTATTATTGGAAATATATTACCGGCGTTTGACAGTCAGCAGTTGCTATGTCTGGTAGAAATGAGTGTAGAATTTATGTCGGTAACTTGCCACCTGACATAAGAACTAAGGACATACAGGATTTATTTTATAAATTTGGAAAGGTCACATTTGTGGACCTCAAGAATCGAAGAGGTCCACCTTTTGCATTCGTTGAATTTGAAGATTCTCGGTAAGAAAGTTATTTGTTTTTAACTTTTTTTTGTACAGTTTTTATTTATCAATTATTGATTTATCTTCTTTCATTAGAACTCTTTAAAATGACTCCATAGTTTCTTGCAGTTATGTATATTTTATCCTTCACTTTTTTTTATATGGATGTCATGTTTTTTCCTCCTTTGTATATGCACACAGTTAAGTTTCCTTTCAGATTTCAAATAGTGTATGACTCTGTATTTATCTTCTCATAGTCATTTAAAAATCTGCTTTATCTATTTTTTTATAGCTTGTATGGTGGTTTTAGTATGTCGAATCATCATTGTTCACTTAATTTTATTGTTTAGTTGTAAGATGGGAGTGTTTCATTTCTTTAAATAATTAACCAGTTCCAATCATCGGTTTTATTTCATATTTTATTGGCAGGTTTTAGTCATCTTATTAAATGTCAATTTGTGACTTTCAGTTGATCTCAGTGTTATTTTATCATGGAGATTCAATTAAAAACGTCATTATGATAAAAAATTGAATTGTAATTGAAAATTGCCAATGGTTATGATTAAAATGGTGTTTGATTGACTTTGATAACAGGACTACAGAAAATGGGGGTTACCTTACAAGCCTACAGGCAACAAGAAAATTACTAAATTTATGTTGAACTATTTTCTTTTGTTACTAGTGCTTTCTCTAACTTTATCATCTTCATTGCTTCAAATGCGAAAAGAAAACTGTCACTTCCCATTTTTCTTCTACTGGGGTTATGCACCACTATCTGTTGTAAAACAATTTGTTTCAAGTATGATTATTTGACACATCAAATTCAATCTCCATTTAAATAATTGTTCTATGAAGCCTTAAGACTCCTGTTGCTATTTTGATGATGTGATCAATATTGTGGAGTTATTGATTCTTTAATTGGAGCTTTAAGTGTTCCATTAAGTTTATGTTTAGGCAGTAAAACTTTCTAAATGTCACCCCAACATGGCAGCTGTGCCAAATTAATATCAGTCACATTTTATATAAAATTCTGAAATTGCCCATGTTTTGACGTTATTGGTGGATGTAACCTCACTTTTATTTGGTTAGTACTTTTGATTTCCCCTTGCTCAAAAGAGATAAACAAATTCCCAATGTGTCCTTTTCAGTGGAGATTGTGACCATGTATAAAATTACATCAATGTGATCTTGGCCCAAGTGTCATATTGGTGTAATAAATGTAGAGTGGTATCCTTTTGACTGCACTATTTATCTTTGTAGAATATGGAGATTTGATTTGTAAATGCTCCCATTTCTTTGTAATGAGCATTGGAATAATTCTCATTCTAAACATTACCAGAGCAAATGCACGTGACAATTCCAAAGTAAGTTTACAATACTTACAGTATTTGTAACTTTAGTTGCCACCAAGTTAGTAGGAAATGCTTGTATCAATTTTGATTAACTAGCAACTAGAAATAAAATGCAAGACTCATGTAGATGTACGTGATTGCTTAGCATGTTGGGGTGTGGGTTCCATAGTGGCTGTTAGCCTTACATGTTAGATTTAACATTTTCTAATCATTTGCTCAATTGTGTAGCCACCTAACCATAAGAATATCTCAGAGCTTTTACTTTATTCAAGCTGATATATGATCTACAGTTCTGACAAAACACCTTATTTAGCAATTAAAGTACAATTACCTGGAATAAATTTAGTTAAAATTCTTGACTTAATAATCCATTAAATTTTATCAAGTATGTGCTAATTGTTTCCCTAAGGGTAGTGAATTACTGAATGTTAGGCAATCAGTCATGGCGACAATCAATCAGATGGGTACTCGTTAAATAGCGGGTCGGGTCCGACTGCTATCTGCCAATGTTTATAACCTTAATACTGATAATTCTGATAAGGCACTCATAATTCCTATCTTCATATTCATATTTATTGTATTATATTCATGTTATTGATATTCATATTGTTATATCTTCGTATTCATATTTATTGTATTATATTCATATTATTGAAATTGTGAACAAAAACAAATGTAATAATAAAAAAATACTTTTATTTTACAACATATATATTAAATAGACCAAAACATTATACATATATAATGTAAAAACATTACAACATATACATAAAAATAAATGGGCAAAAATAGATAAAAATAAATGAAATTATAAAAAACCACTTAAACAACAAATGTACATATAAAAGAAACACTATGAAGACTGTAAAGAACATATGTACACATAAAAGAAACAATATAAAAAATCCTCGAGGAACAAAAAAAAAAAATCCTCGACCGCTCTAACCTCGTTCCTTTCCTTATAGAAACGTTTTTGTTACAAGTACGAAAGCATCTCCATTTTGTCTTCCCGTTGAACTTTATTTCATGACCTTCATCACAATATTTCACCTTTGCAATCATCCCGGCATCCTGAAAATATTTGATAGCCTCTTTTTCTGAAGACGGCAATTCGAACAATGTAACAACATTCATAATTTTACGAAAATAACACTAATGGAACAAAAATAAACGATGGAGTAACATAGCTTACACGAGGAACAAAAAATAAACAATGGAATAACTTAAATTAGACGAGATAAGAAGGGAGGTTATATGATATAAGATTAGATAACAAGGGAGGTTTCGACCCGACCGGCTATTTAAGGAGTACCATCAGGTGTTCTTTATCAATGTTGTGAAACTTTACATCATCAATCCTAACCCCCAAACATTTTAAGTTACTTTTTTAAAATTTATAGTTATATTTCTTAATAAAGTGAATCAGATTATTCTCAAACTTCTGGAACTGATTGATGATCAGTAGCACTCCCCTTTCAGGTGGCTATTCTTATCACAATTATGATATGTGCATGTTCGAGTCCTTCAAATTTTTGTATCATATTTAGATCTCCACTCTCAAGCTGGGAACTTATATCTTGCTATTTTATCATTAACTGACTCTATTATCTAGAGAGTTTAATAATGTTCTTTATTGATCATTGATATTTCTTGCCATGGTTATTCCATTCATCTCAAATCCCACAGAGTTTAAATGCCTTACAGAAACTAGTTCTGAAACTAAGAAATGATAACTGGATAATCAAAATTGAAGTATCTTTTCAAATCATTGCTGACTAAATTAAAATCAATTATATATATCTGCTGTACAAAAAAAAAAATTAAAATGGAAATATTTTCTAAATGTTACCTAAAGTATTAGTTGATATTCATTATTTAAAATTACAGAATTTTAACATATTTGCAAAATTTTACTAGATCTTTAATTGTAAAATGTTTAGAGACCATTGGTCTCACACTACTTTCTCAATCACCCTCATCTAATCCATTATTTACTTTTATTACATGTTGTCTGAAATGATATGTTTTGCCCTGATTTTTAAATTTGGTTTGTCTTATTGGTAAATCTGGATGATAGCAGCTGATATTAGAAATATCTGTGTAAGGTATTGTTAAGCTATGCTTTTTGCCACTATGGGAATGTAACGTCTCTTTATTTTTATTAGATTGAAATTTATTTACATAAATATTTACGGATATATTAAAAATAACATAGTCTAATAATATTACTTCAATAAGTAAATAACACTGTAATAACATTATTAAATAATTTATTGAATATTTAATAGTTGACCATTGCATTATAAAGGAAGGAGATGGTCCAGGGTGGCGGTCATAAATAGACTAAATAGTGACAAAACTATTTAGCCTATTTATGACCGCCATCCCTGACCATCTCCTTCCATTAAATTATTTAAAATCTATCGAAAGTAAAGAATGGCTTGTATATATATAAATATATATATATATATATAGAGCTGCCATTGACATAGCTAAGGCATTTGATACTATTAGTCATAATGAAATGAAATTAAAATATTCTTTTATTATCCTGGGACTGTTGTTGGGGGGATGAGATGAGATACTAGATTTTTAAGGAGTGATATCAGTGGGGTAACAAGGGATTTGAATTCAGTAAGGAAAGATGCCAACAGACTGGTAAGATCTGTGGCATGTGATGGAGGAGGAATTTGATGTTGATGAGATTGATGAGGGTTTTGTTTATTAGGAAGGGACAGGATTTTGACATTAGGATTGGGGTCGTTGTTGCGGCAGGGCCTCACATTTATCAGTCTGGTCCCTACAGCCAAGTAACTGAGAGAAGGAAACTTTAGGGTCCAATTTTTTAGCAGGTCCTCTTCTAGGTTGGGTTTTTCTTGAAGTTTCTTCTTGGTTCTTGATTGGTAAAATTTATTTTTGATATTTTTATAGTTCTCACAGCCTTTGTAGTTGGCAGAATGTCCTTCCAGACATAGAGCACATACTGCTTAGACATAGGTGCTGCTTTCGATTTCATGGATTTGCCGGACTTGTGTGTCTGTCCACATTTCACGCATCTATGTATATTATGGCCATAAGCCTTGGTGTGGCCATATGCCTGACAGTTGTGGCACTGGACAATTTCTCTCTTAGTGTATAGTTTTTCAACCTTAACACTTGTGTAATACAATCTTTTAATTATATATATTTTATCCACTCCTGCTGAGTGTTCTAAGTCAACAAAATATAGAGGTAATGGAATCTTTCTATTTTCCCCTGAGTCATCTCTGCTGTCCTTTATTACATTGGTGACCTGTCGTAGTTATAAGAATATTAATATATTTATTTATCTCAGGTGTGGGTTACTGACAATCAGATCCAATGACTCAGACAGACTAACGTTATCTACACTAAACACTATTTGATCTTAAAATAAAGTCAAGTATTAATTGGCAAGCTAACCTTTTTTCTATATACACTGTTTCTTCCTTTGTTGCACTAAATTCATTTGTCTTCAAATGCTTTTCAATGTTTTGCCAAACACAACTTCCAAAATGGTCACACTATTACTGAGTTTTACCCACTGGAGCCAGGATCCCTTCTCCTATCCTCTCTTTACTGCAGCCACACAACTGCTTGTCAAAACACAATCCCTTGTTCCCTCTCTCCTTTTGGGATTTTATTTTCC